AACTAAGACACCTACTTTTTAAATAAGCAAAATTCTATCACAAATGACAAACTGAGGACTTTTTTTTACTTAAAGGATAAGTCCATGGTATTACCTACCACCATGTAATTACTTATAGGTTTGGTTTTGTTTTTCACAGACAAAATATCTTAACGGACATCTTAAGAAATATTATTTCTTTACTGTTTCAAGTGTTCAAGTGTTGAAAACTATTTTGACCATTCTGCATCTTTTGAAGTACTCAAGTGTTGAAAACTCTACTCCTCATAGCAGAAATCTAAAAAGGGATGTGAAATAGCTTCAATACAATTCAAGACCACAAGGAATGTTCTAGGGATGCTGGACTGGTGTAGAGGAACCACAGAGTCAGTAAGAGCCAGAGAATTATCTGTTGTCCTGACTGTCACCATATTAAATATTCTAAGTCAATAGTTACATCTGTCCTTTACTGTATTTCCACATTTTATAAAGCTTTCATTGTGTAAAACAAAAAGATAAAGGCAGGATAAAAAGGTGTCCCACTTCTATGAAATAAGCCGGAACTCTTTTTTAGAAAAATGAGTACAAAAGAAATCTGGAGCCTCTGCTTGTAGCACAGGCACTTGCTGGGAGATGGTGCTGGTCTACCCTAAAAATCTTCCCCGGAGCTCCAGCCCCAGGGAGTGAAGATGGATGTGAGCAGCAGGAGAATAGTTGTTTTATGGAAAAACTCAGGCTTTCTCATTGCTTCTAGTCAATTTCCTTGATATCCTCAGTATCCAGAAATGATCCTTTCATTTCAGTTTGCCTCACCTGTCAAAATAATTTTTTTAATGGCAGTGGTAACCATCATCAGGGTAACAAATTCCCTACAGTCACAATAACCTTTCCTACATTTAAGTAAACACTTTCTCCTTTGACACTCGCTCCTCAAACACACAGCAGTCTCTCCAATTTCCTTGCCCATTTCCAGACTTCAACCCTGATTCATACTCCTTTGCTTTCTTATCCATCTTATTACTGCCACTATAAGCATAAAGATTTTGAGACAATGATATTTGAGTGCACTCAATTCAATTAAATAATGGGTTGTTGTTGTTGTTGTTATGTGCCGTCGAGTCAGCCCTGACTCATAGCGACCCCTCCTTGGGTTTCCGAGGCAGTATCACTAC